ATTTACTAATAAGGAAATAGATGTGGTCACACAGCTTTTAAGTAGCAGAGCTAAGAAATCTACTGTGCCTAACTCTAAAGCCCATGATCATAAGACACACTCATAGTTTAAACAACTATATCTAATTGATAGGTATAACTACTGAACACTCTTAAAAGGCACTCATATTCAAGAATATATTAGTACTTAATAAACCTTACCTTTTTGTATACTGCCATTTTATCAGAATCCAAAACAATTATATTTCTTAGCTTTGCATTTATTTCAGTTACTAAAGGCTTCATAATCATCTCCAAATCAAGTCCTAAGGGAATAAAAAGATTAATCATTTGTTTTTTCTTCTCTAATTGAATAATTTTAAATTTACTTTTATAAGATGTTATTACCTTCAATCTTAATTTCAGAAATGTTCTGTTTCTGATCTTGAATAAAAATCCGTAAACATGATAATTCTGCTAAAAGCTGCAAGGTAATAATATCTTCATTCATAGGTAGCTTTAAAGCTACAAAACAAAAATCATATTGTAGTACAAGTTTTAATAATTACCATACTACACTCATAAAGCACCTAAAATAATACCACAAATAATTAAAATATTCAATTTACAATTCAATTAAAGAGAAAGTAAGATATTCACTGCTGAACTGAGAACTCTAAAAAAACAATTATCTAATGAAAACAAACAAATAAGCAAGTGACTACTCTTAGAGGTGACTTATCATTTGAAATGAGGAAACTGTAGTAAAACTAGACCCAATGATTACTGAGATATGGCTGTCATTAAGGAAAGCACAAATATTTACTGTTTTAAAAGGTAACAGATCATCTCTAATCCAAAGTGCTCCAAAACCAAATTTTTGAGAACTACCATGACACTCAAAAGGTACTGAATTTTAGAGTATCTCAAATTTTTGTGTTAGCGGTGTTCAATCTGTACTCTGGATAAAAAATACTCCAATATCAATAAAATTTTGTCAGTTATAATTTTCTAATCTCAAAGCACCATTTAATACATAAAAACATCAAATCAAATATTCCTAGTCTAATTTTCAACTAAAATCTAGTATATAATAAACATCCTTTCAACAGTAATCAGTTTCCTTTACCTTTATTTTCAAAAATTCATTTGGTATATGATGAATCACTCTAGATGTCAGTCTAGTTAAAAATGAGGCTAGTGCCTTAAACTACTGTTCTAATTGGCAATGAAAAAAACTAAAGAAATTTAAATATATACCAATTTTTTTAATGATATCTCCTTTGTCTTCAGTGTCTGCAACAGACACTAGGGCAGAGTTTTCCATGGATTGTGGAAGGATATTGTTAAGATAATTCATTGTATTCAGAAGTGCTTCAGTATGTAAATGAATATCCAAGGAGGAAAAATTAACCTACAGAAAAATTGATTTTAGTACTAGGTCAATAAAAATTTGCTTATATAATCTCCATAAAATACTATGCCTTGTAGTGCAAAGAATGCAATTTAATATCATTCTTTATCCTCAAGGATATTATAATTCCAATTATAAAATAATTATCAGATACTTAGAAATATAGTATATAATTTCAAAATAAATTATTATATACTCATACCTTAATAAGTTGTAAAACATTGTTATAGGTACTTTTCAAGTTAGGTGCATTTTTTTCCACCTGTCCAAAAAGAAAATGTGTTTATTAGAACACATTAGGAAGAGATGCTTATACAACTGCATGATAGTTCTAAATTTTCCTGATGTGTACAGATATAAATTATATATGGAGTAGACACAAAATATTATTTACATAGTAATTCATTAAAAATATATGTACATATATTTGCTTGACCAACTGTTTCACAAGAGCAAGAAAACTGCTTTACCAGAACAAACAAAATTGGCTAAGTATGGGCTTCTAGCATGTAGCAACTGTTCACTTACCATTACTCCTGCCATTCTTACTATCAAGAGAAGAAATCTAGAAAGGCTACTGACTTTTGCAGATTGAATTTATAACCTGTTACTGTACTGAAAGTGCTGATCAGTTCTGGGAGTTTTCTGGTGGAATTTCTGCGATCTCTTAGGTATAGTATCATATCATCTGTAAAAAGTGATAGTTTGACTTCTTCTTTTCCAATTGTTACTCCTTTAATGTCCTTTTCCTGTCTTATTGCTCTAGCAAGAGTTTCAATACTACGTTTAAAAGGAGTGGAGATAGTGGACAGCCTTGTCTGGTTCCTGAATTCAATGGGAATGCTTCCATTTTTCTCCATTTCGAATGATGTTGGCTGTGGGTTTGCTGTATATACCTTTAATTATGTTGAGGTATGTTCCCACCAGGCCAAAAATGTCAAAAGTATTGGGGCGCTCGTATCTAATCCTTTAAAGGTTTTGGGGTTACCTCTTCAGAGGGGGGAATTTTGGAGGGGAGGGAGTGGGCATGGATTTGATCAAAACACCTTATATACATGTATGAAATTCTCAATAAAGTTTTTGTAAAACTTAAAAAGTACAGAGAACAATCATTTGATCAAGAAGTCTACATGGTTTTTCCTAACTCTTCTTGTATTTGAAAATAAAATTTATGGCAAAATTGTCTATCAAGTACCCAAATAATGTCTTTTTTTTTCCTATTTTTCTTACATTATCTTTGACAAATCATAATTGTCTATGTTTACAGGGTACCACCTCATGTTTTGATGAATGCATAAAATGTAGAAAGGTTAAGCAAAGGTAACTGACATATCTGTCAACTACATTACCTAAAATGTACTGTAGTGAAATGTTTTAAATTTACCTTTTGGAAATATGTGTTATTATTGACCACATTCACTCTGTTGTGCAGTAGATCTCAACCCCTACTCCTTCTGCCCTTTTACCAACAGCTTCGCATTTTCACTCCTTTCATACAACCCCTAGCTTCTGGTAACCACCATCTTCCCTCTCCTTCTCTGAATTTAATTTATGAGAGTCCACATATAAGTAAGAGCCTCCAGTTTGTTCCTCTCTGTTAATGGATCATTTCACTTAGCATAATATTCCAGATTTATACTGTTATGGCAGGATCTTCCCTCCTTTTAAGTAATATTACATTTAATATGCATATAACACATTTTTTGTTCTTTTTTTCTTTAGATCTTGTACGATCTAAAACCTGATGGAAACATAACAAAAAATCTTAAAAAGCAGACCTATAATGGGTAGGAAAAATGGCTTTAAATGTGATAAAGGCTATTTTGGAGTAATTCTTCTTATACAGTAATTATTAAAATGATATGGTACTTGTCAGTGAAAGCAAGGAATAAATAACTGAGCAAAAGTCAAAGAAAAATTTCACAAATGATAAAAGTAGACATTATAAATCAATATAAATCAAGTCATTGATGCTTAAAAAAGATCGGGCAGCCAGGCATGGTGGTACACATCTTTAATCCCAGCACTGAGGAGGCAGAGGCAAGTGGATCTCCTAAAGATGGAGGCCAGCCTGGTCTCCATGGCAAGTTCTATATCAGCTGGGGCTACAGGGGTCTCAAAAACACCTCCCCCACCCCCGACACACACAAAAATGAGGTAACCAGACAATGATAGAAATGTAGTAAATTGCTTTTTGTACAATAAGAAATCCCATCAAAACTAAACATTTGTTTCTTTTTCAATATCCTGGCAGAAAAAGTCAAACTACAGGTCATTTCTACTTAGAACAAAGGGCACTTACTTTGCTGTATTAAGTATCTGTAAATTGAGACAGTATGACAAGAATAACAAAACAAAGAACCTTAAAGTATTATGAATGACCGAGATGACAGCAGAATAAAGACTAAGCACTATTATTAAATTCATAAAGCATCATTATAAAATTTCAGCAGCACACTTACTAACCAAATGAGAATCTGATCTGCTTACCTTCACACATTCCAATGTTAACAGATCTTCCATTGTATTATCCAGAGTTGTAATCAAATAAACTGGTTTCTTGTTTTCATCTAAAAATAATTTTCAAATTATTTTTTGGTAGGAAAACTAACTGAAAATAAATGAAGTCAGTATTAGTAATTATGACCAAAAAAAAATCTTCCTGTGCTATACCTAATAAAGGCCCCTTCTTTGATTTTTAAACTCAAAACACCGTAATTTCTCCTCACAATTCTGTAGTTTTCCTTTGGGCAGCAAAACTAAAGTCTCACATTTTCCCAACTCTAGACAAGTAAGGTGTGAAAAACTTGCAAGTTGTTAAAGAAGAACAGAAACACTTTTCAGGAGCAAAGCAGGAAGAGAATTTTGGCCTGAGTCACAGACATGGCTCAGAAAACTATAAAAGCTCTTGAAGACGCTAGTTTTAAGAAGACAGCTCAAAAATGGGGATAACCTTTCTACATACGAGATTAAAATCAATCTTAGCGGTATATAACAGTTCATTAGTTGCATTACTGATTCTGTTCAGAAACAGATATTCTAAGGAAACTGCTAAGAAATGTTAGTATAGCATTAAAATTGTCATTATGGGGCTGCTAAGAGGTTAAGAGCACTGGCTACTGTAACAGAGGACCCAGATTTGATTAGCAGCACCCACATGGTGGCTAACAACTGTCCATAACTGCAGTTCCAGGGGAATCGACACCTTCTGATCTCTGCAGGCATTACACGACATGGGTACACTTACACACATGCAGGCAATACACTCATACAAATAAAATAAGTTTTTAAAAAAATATAGATGAAACTAGCATTACTAAATTACTATGGCTTCTAGAAGTCAGTATCTAGAGAGTGAAAGAACTACAACTAATTATCCTATTCCTGAAAAGGAAAAATGCCACCTGCCTGCAGTTCTTCAAACCTAAAGCTCAGTAGTAAATAATCCAGCTTTCTATTTCAAGCATTAGCTACATATTCAGTCCCTAAAGAGAGCCACACTTTATTGATATATTTACTGGTTCGCTGAACCAGTGGATAATTCAGTGGATTAGTTTTCACAAAACAACCACTCTATTCACTCTTTCCCAGCAATAATGATGGGTGCTATATTTTGTTGCCAAATATTTATTATCCTTTATTCTTGGGAAAACAAAAAAGCATAAATATAAAAATTAAGATGGGCTATAAGAATGGCTATAGTAGCCAGAACTCATGTGCATGCCTTTAATCCCAGCTCTTGAGAAGCAGATGCAGGCAGATCTCTCTGAGATCAAGGGCAACCTGGTCTACATAGCAAGTTCCAAGCCAAATGGGACTACAGTGAGACCCTATATCAATCAATCAATCAATCAATCAATCAATAAATACGTAAATAAATAAAGGAATGGCCGTTAATAATTCTGGATTAATTAGGGAAACTGTCCAGTTGATTACTTTTTATTTTCAATCACCAAAATAATCCATTTCTTAGTGCAAAAGAACAAAACCTAACTTTGGCATAGGACAAAACGCAAAATCTTCCATATAACCATGCTCAAGTTTCCAAGGATAGAGAACAAATGTAGAGTATGAAACACACACACACACACACACACACACACACACACGTGCGCACATATACATGTAATTCATATTTTCTGATTACTTTCAGGCTATGAAACTTAATTTGATGCCTGATTTTAACAAGGGTCAAACAACTAATAGATATAACTCAACAAAAAAGCTGTATCAATGACAAAATGCAAATGAAAATATTTTCCACAACAACATAAGCAGAGGAATTCAAATTGTCATTATCCATCTAATAGAAAGACCCAAGTCCAGAGCACAAACAAAATACTGACAAGATGGAACAACAGTGTGTTGGATAGCTTTAGTGTCAACCTGACACACCTGGGTTGAGGGAGCCTCAATTGGAGAATTTCCTCTGTTGGACTGGCCTGTGGCCATGTCTGAGGGGCATCTTCTTGATGAGTGATGTGGGAGAGGGCCTAGCCCAGTGTGGGTGGTGCCACCCCTGGGAAAGTGGGCCTGTGTTGCATAAGAAAGCAGGCTGAGCAGGGGCCATGGGAGCAAGTCAGTAAGCAGAGATCCTCCATGGTCTGTGCTCCAGCCTCCAAATTCCTGCCCTGAGTTCCTACCTGGGACTCCCTGATGAATTACGACCCAGGAGATGTAAGACAAATAAAACCCTTTCCTCCCCAAGTTGGTAGCGGTCAGAGTGTTTTGTCAGAACAATGGAGAAATGAACTAGGACAAACAAGAATTCTTTTTTTTTTAAATATTTTATTTACTTTTATTTTATGTGTATGCGTGTGTTGTCTGCGTGTATGTGAGTGCACCCGTGTTGTGCAATGCCACGGAGGTCAGAAGAGGGCTTCGGATTCCCCTGAGACTGTAGTTAAGGACGGTTCGTAGCCACCATGTGGGTTCTGGGAATCGAACCTGGGTCCTCTGCAAGAGCAGTCGGTGCTCTTAACCGCTGAGCCATCTCCCCAGCCCAGGAATTCTTATTTACTGCCAGAAGAAAATATATAACCATTCTAGAAGAGTTTGACAGTTTATTACCAAAGTTATACACATAACATTCAATCCACCAATTATGTTCCTCGGTATTTATCCAAAGAAACTGACAAGTTAGTTCTACAGAAAAATCTGCATATGGATGTATGTATAGCATCTTTATTCCTAACTGCCAAAACTTGGAAGGAATCAAGATGTCTTTCATTAGGTGAGTGGATAGGAAAACCACAGACACCTAGAACAAGGACTATGACTCACTAATCAAGAGAAATTAAATGTCAAGCCATGAAAAGATAAGGAGAAAATTTAAACATGCATTACTAATTGAAAGACACCAGCCTGAAAAGGCTGTATACTATATGGTCACAGCTACATAGATTGTAGGCTGTATAGTATATGGCTCCAATCAATAGAGACTGCCGGGAATTAAGCACAGGCATCAACTGACAGCAAGAACACAAATAAGTCATGTGTTAGTGAATTAACTTTCAAATGATCATGGTTTAAGTGGATCTTCCTAGAGAGCCTCCAAAGAGCACCTGCTAACACCTTAATTTTTGCCTAGTGAAATTTGTGCTAGAATTCTCCCCTACAGAAGATTAAGATAATAACTTTGTATTGTTTTGTGATACTAAATTTGTGGGAAGTTGTTATAGCAGTAATAAGAGAATTAAGTGGTCCTATGTTTTGTGTATATGATGTTTCTTAATGAAAAATACTATTTTTATTTTGTCTCTGAATTACTCCATCCCCAGATTGCCAACTATAAAGCAAAAGTTTAAAACTAACTGTGGCAAGGTTTGGATGTAGTTTGACCCCAAAAGATCCATGTATTTGAAGCATGTTCCTCAGTATGGTAGTATAAAGTTGTCAGAATTAACAGGTGGAGTCTAGAGAAAAGCCTAGTCAATGGGACAACACCCTTAAGACAAGATTATAGTAGATTTTGCATGGTATCTACTAGTTCCCAGAAGAGAAAGTAGTTATAGAAACTCAAGCCTGGCCCTCAATCTCTTCTACCCATTTTCCTGCTATGAAGTCCAAGAGGTCCTCACCAGATACCAAACAGATAGAACCATGGAACCACTGGAGCTTGGACTGTGGACTTCAATAATCACGAACTATTAACCTCTTTTCTCTATATATTACTCAGCCTTAGGTATATTTTGAAAGCAATGGAAAGTAAATATTCAGTGGTCTCAGTTTTCTGAGACTGTTTTAAAGTGTAACTATACTGATTCAAAGTTTAAGAATGGAAAACTCTACAGGAGCAGGATGTCATATTATGAAAGCAATTTATCTATCTGTTTTATAAATAAAGTCTTACCTAAATATTCTGGACATTTTAACCAGAATTCTTTCAAAAAGGCATTTGCTTTCAAATCACATGATCTAATCTCAACTTCTGTACCCAATCTTAAAATACCGGTTTCTATCACAGGTAGTTCACAGTCACCCACAAGGTGATAAAACTGAATCAAAACCTGCAGAAAAAAATGAAAAGGAAGCACTACTAAAACATGTTCACAAAATGTTAAAACATGCCCACAAATGTGGTAATTAAATATGAATACAGAAGATGAATATGTAATATGCTAAGGATTTAAATTTTAGAAGCAATTTTATAGTCCTATACATATACAAAGCATACTTAAAATACACCTTCAAAAATGTGCATTGAATAACTACCTGAAATACATCATCTAAATATCTAATTCTTAAGAAAGACCAGTTCAAAAAAAGGAGAAACCACACATGACTTTTGCATCTAGCTTAAACAGTGTCTGTAAGCAACGAGAAGATATAAACAGTATTAAGCATAAATGACAATTTATATAAACTGTATTAAACATAGTACATACCTCTGCTACTTCAAATCGCATTCTAAGTTGAATTAAATTCACTGAACAATCTTCACTTTGCGTCTTTTTGTGTCTAGTACTTTTAACTCTAGTTAGAATTAGAGGACATTCTTCCAAGGGACTACATGGTGCATCAAAAAATTCCTCCTCTGAATCTAAATTTCATAGAATATTGTTTAAGTCAAAAACAGAAATAATCTATTTAGTATCATTCTTATAATTTGTCTGAAATATATATTAACATTAAAATGCTAGAGGCCTATTTTAAAAGTTGAATACAAATACAAATTTAAAAGACTATAGACATTACTTCTGAATAAATAACATCTTAAAGACAAACAGTATGGAAGAGTATGAGATACATTTAGCTTAAAGAAAAAACTGTATATATATATATATATACATATAGGATTAAATTATGAGATCTATTTAGCTTAAAGAAGAATATATATATTGGATTAAATTATGAGATCTATTTAGCTTCAAGAAAAAAGTACACAAGAAGAGGGCTTCGGATTCCCCTTGAACTGGAGTTAAGGACAGTTTATAGCCGCCATGTGGGTGCTGGGAATTGAACCCGATCCTCTGCAAGAGCAGTCAGTGCTCTTAACCGCTGAGCTGTGCCTCTAGCCCCTAAAACTACTTTTTTAAGTCAAGGTCTCACTGTGTACCCCTGGCTGGCCTTTAACTTACTATGTAGACCAGGCTGACCTCCGTGGCATTGCACGACACGGTGCACCTACATACATTCAGGCAATACACTCATACACATAAAATAAAAATAATAAAATTTTTAAAAAGTTTTAAATTGACACTCTGAGTAGTGAAATGATATCTCATGCTACTCATTGCAGATATGACTCATTCTTTGTCAATATATATGTCTGTGGAGTAAAAGGGAAAAGCTTCCCTTTGCTATTTTAACTTTACCAATTTGCTGAAATGAACTGACCATAGATAGCAAGGAGAAAAAATAGACACATTGTTTATCATGAACTGGGGAGAAGCAATCAATCACAGGATTTTGATTATTCATATGATCTAAAGGGCTTCAGATATTCACAGCTTCCTTATAAAGGAGGGAAAGATAAGGGATATAATAGTTTGAAGAGAAAACTTCGTGATTTTATGCAAATAGGTCCAGTGCTCAAAAACATATTTGGGAGAAGTCCCCCAACTGTTTCAGAATGCACACTGTATATACCACCCACCCACCCAGCACTTAGTAGCAATCCTAGTTGTAATATCCACTGGTGAAGAATGTAGTGTGTACATTCAGCTAGCTTTTATTTTTTATTTTACTTACTAATGACTTCCAGGTCCAAGAAGAGTGGTGCTGGCAACTCAAACCTGCCAATGAGAAGCCACAGTCCTTCCTCTAACTGAAAGCAATTTACATGGGGAAGGAAAAAAAAAACACACATACCTATCTCTAAAAAAGCCACAATAGGCGCTGGGGAGATGGCTCAGCAGTTAAGAGCACCGACTGCTCTTGCAGAGGACCTGGGTTCAATTCCCAGCACCCACATGGCAGGTACAACCGTCCGTAACTCTAGTTCCAGGGGAATCTAAGAATCTAAGGCCCTCTTCCGACCTCTGCAGCACTGCAGGGCACGGGTGCATTCATTTATATGCAGTCAATACATACATATATAATAAAAATAATAAGTAAAAAAAAAAAAAAGCCAGAATAATCTCAGTAAAAGGGTAAGGATAAAGAAACAAACAAAAAACAAAATGTGTTAGTTTTGGTGTCATATCTCAAATTGCAAAACACTCAAGGTGGGATGTGAGTGTTTAGTTAAGATGAAAAATAGTATCACTTAACTTTATCACAGGTAATTATGTAAGGAAAAATGTAGTATTAAAAAGGTTTAGTACTTAGCCAGGTATGGTGGCACACGCCTTTAATCCTAGCATCCAGAAGGCAGAGACAGGTCAATCTCTGTGAGATGGAGGCCAGATGGTCTACATAGCGAGTTCCAGAAAAGCTGGTGAAAGGAAGAACAAAAAAGTAAATAAAAGTGGGGATTCAGGCACGCAGTAGGGGTCTTGGAGTATATCCTCCACTCACAGAGAAGTCAAATATCGACCTACAACTATTGTAATGATGATCATGATGATCTCACTTGTTCACTGTGTGTCTCTCTTAGTAAATGTGTGTATGTGTGCGTATATTCCCAAAATTTATATTAAAACTTTAAGACCCATGGTGCTGGAGAGATAGCACGGCAGTTAAGAGCACTTGCCCTTGCAGAGGACCAGGGTTAAGTTCTGAGCATCCATAGGGTAGCTAATCCATAACTCCAGTTCTGGGGCATCTGAAGCCCTCTTCTAACCTGTACAGGCACTGCACACACATGATGCACTTACATACATGCATGTAAAACACTCAAAATTAATAATCAAAAAAATTTATTTAAACTTTAGGATCCAAAACTGTAAAAGTATTTAGTTAAACCACGGCAATCAACGGCTGCTGAAGGAGGGTGAGTCACTTTCTTTTCAGGACATGGCTACTGGAAGGTTGCTCATGTCATGGTGGATATCGGGCAACAGTGTGGGAGCACTAAGGAGGTTGGACGAAGGTAGTGGTGGATGGATCCATGATAAACACTGTACAAATGCATTAAACTTTTAAGAATAAAAAAATATGATTTTTAAAAACCTAGCAAAAAGAGGTTCATAATACACTAAACTAAGCTGAAGTACATCCCTAAAAAACTAAGGCTGAAGTTGGCGTGTATGACCTCACATAGACCATCTCTATGGTCACCACAGAAAACAAGGAATATAGCACCTTCTCTGTTACTTCAGTTAGCCTTCTCCAGAGACTTCAAAACAGAAACATGTTTAATTTCTTCCCAATACAGTCATTAAAAAAAAAAAGACACTCGACATTCTTTTATAAGTTTCTTGTCAAAATAATCCTACTTTAAAAGTAACCTTAAAGAATACTCAAATTGAGGTTTGAGAGCTGTCTCTGCAGAGGAGCTGGGTTTGATTCCCAGCACCTACATGGCGGCTAACAACAGTCTGGAATTCTAGTTCCAGGGGATCTAATGCCTTCTTCTGACGTTGGTGGGTACTGCACAATATGGGTGCACTTACATGCAGGCAGTATACTCATACACATAAAATAATAAAATATTAAAAAAAGAATACTCAAATTATATTACGGAATCTGAGTGAAAATGCCTCAATAATGTAGAAATACTGCTATTGCCTGACTTTCTTAAGAGTGGAGGCCAGATCAA